GAGTTTGAGAACGGCCTGACGAACATGGTGAAACCCCGTTTCTACTAAATACAAAAAATTAGCCGGGCATGGTGGTGGGCGCCCGTAATCCCAGCTACTCGAGAGGCTGAGGCAGAAGAATCCCTTGAACCCGGGAGGCGGAAGTTGCAGTGAGCTGAGATGGTGCCACTGCACTCCAGCCTGGGTGACAGAGCGAGACTCCGTCTCAAAAAAAAAAAAACTTCAGGGAGCTGCTTGTCAGTCATGAAGGGATATTTTCCAGTTATCTCATCAGCTCTCAAGTTTCCGCTTTGGGGAGAAAAAAGTTCCCCATGTCCCATGATCCTGTGCATGCCTCATCCTGTCACCCACAGCCATCAACAAAAAGTGCAAGGCAGATTTAATTTTTTAAATCAATTAGTTGCTTAAAATTTTTATTTATTTTTTGTAAAGTCTTTAAATGCAAATATTGAAATTTTTTAGAAGTTTCTGCATATCAATAGGCATCGCTACATGAGAGTGTACATGACACTAATTTGGGAGCCCTCTTTTTTTTTTTTTTTTTTGAGACGGAGTCTCGCTCTGTCGCCCAGGCTGGAGTGCAGTGGCCGGATCTCAGCTCACTGCAAGCTCCACCTCCTGGGTTCACGCCATTCTCCTGCCTCAGCCTCCCAAGTAGCTGGGACTACAGGCGCCGCCACCACACCTGGCTAATTTTTTGTATTTTTAGTAGAGACAGGGTTTCACTGTGTTAGCCAGAATGGTCTCGATCTCCTGACCTCGTGATCCTCCCGCCTCGGCCTCCCAAAGTGCTGGGATTATAGGCTTGAGCCACCTCGCCCGGCCTGGGAGCCCTCATTTTCAAATGTACTTCAGTGCAGTGTTGTTCTTTCGGAATGTTCCACTGCAAGTTATCTTTAGTAAAAAAAAAAAAATTTTTTTTTTTTGAGACACAGTCTCTGTCACTCAGGCTGGAGTGCAGTATTATGATCTCAGCTTATGGCAGCCTCCAACTCCTAGGTTCAAGTGATTCTTGTGCCTCAGCCTCCCGAGTAGCTCGAATTAGAGGCACATGCCATCATGCCTGGAATTTTTTATTTTTTATTTTTTTTAGTAGGGACAGGGTTTCACAATGTTGGCCAGCCTGGTCTCAAACTCCTAGCCTCAAGCAATCTACCCACCTTGGCCTCCCAAAGTGCAGGGATTACAGGTGTGAGCCACCATGCCTGGACAATTTCTGTAAGACTTTGCTCCTTCCAGGTCCTAATACTTATGCATGTGTAATCCAAAAGGAATTCAGTTCTTCAGAAATTAAGGATCACATTTTTACCTCAAATATTGGCTTTGCTCTCAGGTTCCCTTGTTCAACTTAGCCAGTGATTTTTTTTTCCTATATAAGTGCACAAGAAAAATGAAACAAACGAGTAGAACATAAAAATCCCTGTGAATTTCCAAAAGCCAAATTTTACACCCTTGCAATATTGCCATTTAATACTGGTTTCTTTCTGATCCAGTTAGATGTAAGAGGCCTCTAACTAGATCCAAGCCAGTTAATTACTGGAGCCAATCCGATCCTGGACTCAGTTCAATTTCTTTTGCTACTTTCAAACCCAATCAGGATCAGAAGTTTACTCAAAGAAACTCAAGAGAGCTCAACACACAAATCTGTGGAGCTTCAGAATCTGAGAGAGAACTTCCCACAATCCCCAGCTGCTCCCAGGAGAAAGAGACACAATGAGCCCGGAGTGTATCTTGCTAGGTCACTCAGCACTCCTGGGGGTCATTAGAAGCTCTACTTCCAACCCCACTTCTGACACCACCTAATAAAAGAAAAACTTCCGCCTAATAAATTTTAAATGAGGTTAATTGGGCAATAAACAATTCACAAATCGGGCAGCCCCCCAAGCCAGAGTATGCTCAGAGTCTCCAGCACAGCCGTGTGGTGGAAGAAAGTTTATGGACAGAAAAAGAAAAGTAACATACAGAAAACAGAAGTGAGGTACAGAAACGGCCAGATTGGTTACAGCTCAATGTCTGCCTAACTTGAACACGGTTCAAACAGTTGGCTACATATGATTGGCCAAAACTTGGTGATTGGCACAACTGTAGGCTACGGTCTGTTTACACCTCCACTTGTTATAGTTCATGATGTACAGAGAAACCTTTAGGCCAAACTTAAAATATGTAAGGAGGCAGCTTTAGGCTAAACTTGATTTAACAGAAGAAATTATTTTACATATTGGGGAACTGACCACAGAAATAAAGTAACTTGCCCAAGTCACACAACTCCTGGTAAAAACAAAATTGCATAGTCCCCCTACCCCATTCCCACAGGGTCTCAGAACCCCTACAGGACCAGACATAAAAAATACTGATATAGCCACAGAGCAAGGCAGGGAAGTGGGGAGATGAAATCAAAATCTTTCGGGGAAAAAAATAATGCAGGACATGAAACGACCTCCAGAGGCTTAGTGCTATTTATAGACTTCAAGTTACGTTCTTACTTTTAGAATAAAAATGGTATAATTTTATCAAAACACTTTCATTTTAAAGCATAGTAAATTTAAAAGTGTTGTCATTCACAGAACATTCACAAAATGTTCTTGTCGAATGTATATTTTCAAGTGTAGTTTTACCTGGAAATAAAAGTTGTTGCATTTGAAACACCTATGGGATAGTATCTTAGCTTTACCTGATATATAAGAAGCAGCAAAAGGTTGACAACAAAAAAGTCTATTACTATTACAGTAAAAGAACAAAGATGAGAGAGCACGGGGTTCAGCCTGGAAGAGGAAGCGAAGCGAAATGACACTGCATGGTTGTTGTTCCCTAAGCGAGGATTTTCCCTCCAAGCCCAACACGGGGAAAACCAGTTCTCTCCTTGGATGCATCAAGCGACAGCAAGTTCAGTGTCACACACGGATGCTAAGGATCCTCCACTGAGTTTATGGGCCAGAGATTTATTCACCTACAGAAACGAAGCCCAAAGAAAAACCAAATGAAAAACGTGACAGACAAGCTGTGCTACAGAGGTGCAGTTTGTTTACCTTAGGTTACTTTGTTTTTATTATATTCACACAGTCTAAAACTAAAGGTCTGTGCATTTTAAAGCAAATTCCACCTTCAAATGTTAATTTTCATTCCGTTAAATAAACACTCATTGTGAATGTTCGCTCTCTAGGCACTAAGGATGTAACTCAGAAGACATGGACCTTGTCCTCAAGCTGCTTGAAATCCAAAATTCAAAGAGACAAAGAAAAGAAGATTGCTACATGTATATTTTATTTCGTGTTTTTTTAATTTTTCATTTCCATAGGTTGTTTTGATCACCACTGAGTACCATAAAATATACACTGGAGCCACTCAGGAGCATAAAGAGGGCACTTTGAAAAAATGAGATTTAGGAAAGGTTCCTGGGGACTGTGTTTACCTGAGGTTAGCAAAACAGAGAAAGGGGAAATGGCATTTCCAGCAGGAGAAGCAGGCTCAGGAGCAGAGAGGCATGAAGTTGCAAGGAGAACTGCAGTTCTTCAGCGTGACTGAAGCCAGGTGGGATGTGGGCCGGGCTGCACTGTAACCTGCCTTGTGTGCTGATGGCAGGTGTTTGCATTTTATCCCACTGGACATGGGAGGTTGTGAAGCATCTTATGCAGGACAGTAACATGATGAGATTTGTGTGTGGAGGGGGCAGCGGTAAGGAGGATGGGTTGGAGGAGGCTGGTTTGAAAGCAAGACCAGTACAACTCTTCAGCCATCAGGTGGGAAGTCATGAGGGTGTGGAAGGGGCAGGAACATGGGGTGAGGAAGACAGCAGATGGGTTTGAATGGCAGTAATGACATGAGAGGCCACAGGAATCACTAAATCTTGTGCCAGAAGTAGGGATATGAAGGAGTCCAGAATACCCAGACAGTGTGGAAAACTGTGGCATCAGTGACTGCAGAGGTGATGGAAAATGAAATAATTGAGAGAAGGTTAGATGTTCTGTTTGGAACATGCTTAGTTTGAATATCTGTGGGAACAAATGGAGTTAATCTGAGGATAGTGAGCTAAATGGGTGGGTCCCAGGCTACACTAGGTTAGTGACATAGACTGGAAGGAGACTCATTATAAGCGAAGTTCTACATTTGGATCGGGTCACTCAAGAAAAGTACACAAAGTCAGAATAGCAAGGGACTGAGTGTGTGCTCCTGCATCCAGACAAACACAGACATGAAAAAAAGAGGCTGAAAAGGAGAAGACTAGAAAGTAGGAGGAAAACAAAGAGGAAGTGGGTTCATAAAAGACAACAGACAGGAGAAAAAGTACAGGAAAGAGGAGCGGATGCATCACAAACACACTAATGACACACAAGAGATGGAGAAGTCACCACTCGTTTGGGTTGTATAAAGGTCACCCTGAGAGCAGCATCAGAGATGTGGGGAAGAAAAAGGGAGAATGCAGTGGGTTGAGGACTGAATGAAATAGGAAAGAGTCACTAACGGGCTGGGTGTGGTGCCCCACACCTGTAATCTCAGTGCTGTGAGAGGCTGAGACAGGAGGATCACTTGAGGCCAGGAGTTTGAGACCAGCCTAGGAAACACAGTAAGACTCCATATCTAAGAAAATATATATATATTTTTTTTAATTATCCAGGTGTGGAGACAGACACCTGTAGACCCAGTTACCCAGGAGGCTGATGTGAGGATCCCTTGAGCCTGGGATTTCAAGGTTGCAGTGAACTGTGATCATGTTATTGCACTCCAGCCTGGGCAACAGAGCAGGACCCTGTCTCGAGAGAGAGAAGGAGACAGAGAGAGAGAGAGAAAAGAAGCAGAAGCAGAAGCAGAAGCAGAAGCAGAAGCAGAAGAAGCAGAAGCAGAAGCAGAAGGAGGAGGAGGAGGAGGAGGAGGAGGAGGAGGAGGAGGAGGAAGAGGGAGAAGGAAAGAAGGAAGGAAGGAAGGAAGGAAGGAAGGAAGGAAGGAAGGAAGGAAGGAAGGAAGGAAGGAAGGAAGGAGAAAAAAAAAACCCACATTGTAGACTCCTATTTGAGGAAGCTGACCTCTACAATTTACAAGAGACTCTCCAGAGGAGGTTGCCAAGCCCCGGCTCTTTTCTCTTCAGCGCGAGGACATGGGGGAAAGGAGACATTTATGAATCTCTTTGAGTCTCAGTCTTTTCATTTCTAAAATTGCGTTAATGAAAGCCTTTCTGAAAATGGTGTTGTGAGGAAGGACATGGAGTTTGGCACTCAGGAGGCGTTCAGTAAACGGTGGTTATACTGTTGTTAGAATGAGAGAAAGCAAAAGGCAGCCTCATGCAAAACAGTAAAGAAGAGAGAAAAGAAACAGGAAAGAAAACAGCATCTGTGGACTCCAGAAGCGCCCAGAGCCCGCACTCTCCCTCGCCCACCTGAGCACTCACCCTTGATGACCTGGGTTCCGGGAGCCTCAGCAGGGCAGCCAGGGCCGTGGCTCGCAGGATCCTGGCTCTGCCCTGGCTCCTTCAGTCTTCAGGGTGCATCGGCAATGGCCACTGTGCGCCAGACCCGGAGGAGAAAATGAGGCGGTGCAGGGAGGGAGGAGCTCCGAATCCAGCACTCCTTACCCCACCCCTGTCCAGGGAGAAAGGCTGGAGATGAAACAGGCTGTGGCTGGGGAAGTAAGATGCTAGAGCTGCCGGGAAGAAGTGGGAGAATTATCAGGCACCAGCAGGACCCAGAAAGCCCCTGCCTACTGCAGAGTGTGGGGGTAAGTGAAGAAAACGAAAATTAGGACGTCACAATCACCTTCCTCTTAACGAGGAAATACGTTACGGAAGTTGGGATTTTTTATTTGCAGTTACTTTTGTGAATGGATGGTATTTCTTCATAATTTTACATTGATTCTTTGCATCATAGAGGAATTCATTTGTTACCAGGTGATATTATATTGACCCTTTTATAGCTTTGATAATTTTGGAGAAAATATTTGATGTTAAACATATAAGGAGAAGGAAATAATATTTAATTATTTAATTAGTAATTATTATTTTATTTCTTCTTCTTATAAAAATGTGGTGAGGCTAGGTGCACAGCTGAATGAAATTTTAGAGTCAGCTAGGCGCGGTGGCTCATGCCTGTAATCCCAGCACTTTGGGAGGCTGAGGCGGGTGGATCACCTGAGGTCAGAAATTCGAGACCAGCCTGGCCAACATGGTGAAACCCCGTCTCTACTAAAAATACAAAAATTAGCTGGGCATGGTGGCACGTGCCTGTAATCCCAGATACTCGGGGGGCTGAGGGAGGAGAATCACTTGAACCTGGGAGGCTGAGGTTTCAGTGAGCCAAGATTGCACCATTGCAGTCCAGCCTGGGCAACAAGAGCAAAACACCGTCTCAAAAAAGAATGTGGTGATACAAAGAACCCCACTTTAAATTTTATGTTTAAGAACAATTTATTTTTCTCCTTTATTTTCTCTGTGTGTGTGTGTGTATATATGTGTGTGTGTGTGAGAGAGAGAGAGAGAGAGAAAGAGAAAGAGAAAGAGAGAGACAGGGTCTCACTCTGTTAACCAGGCTGGAGTGCAGTGGTACCATCTCAGCTCACCGTAGCCTCCACCTCCTGGGCTCAAACAATGCTCCCACTCAGCCTCCCCAGTAGCTGGCACTACAGGCACATGCCACCGTGTGCCTGCATTTTAACTCATGTACTTCCTTTTTCCCATGTTCTCTAGTTTATAGCGTGTCCTTTCCTGAGGAACATAAATCAATGTTATTATCTGCCCCTTTCATCCTGAGAGGAAGGAGATAGTCACATGGCCATTTTATGCTTGAAGGATTTGGTGATCACTGGGTCCAGTGAAGAGCCCCAGGATGAGTCAGTATGGTTTCACCCAGGCATGGAGAAATTAACTTCTTGATGATGATCGAGTCTCCTTATTAAATAGGAGTGCAACTGATAGAGGATCTCCTCACATTTGCTTTATTTCATGGTGCTGCCCAAATTCATGCTGTACCCTCAGCAGCAAGGAGGGGGACCATTACTCCTGGCATTCCCAGATGGAACAGACACCAAGCCTGGCTTTGCCACTGAACACAATACAGGACTGATAATGCAGGTCAGTTATTAGGAATATGCTTCCCAAATGTAGAAATCAACATAAGATCCCAATTTTAAATAACAGGTATAATAGCATAATATATTATATTATTTTATTTTATTTATTTAGAGATGGAGTCCCACTCTATCACCCAGGCTGAAATGCAGTGGCATGATGTCAGCTCACTGCAACCTCTGCCTCCAGGATTCAAGCGATCCTCCCATCTCAGTCTCTAGAGTAGCTGAGAGCTAATTTTTTGTGTTTTTGGTAGAGATGAGGTTTTACCATCTTGGCCAGGCTGGTCTCGAACTCCTGACCTCAGGTGATCCACCCACCTCAGCCTCCCAAAATGCTGGGATTGCAGAAGTGAGCCATCATGCGCAGCCGCATAATACATTATCATTCTTTTTGTATATTATTTGTACTAAGTTATAGATACACACTTATTCCATAACTCTATGTTCACCAGATCACCCCAACTCCTTCTCTTGCAGGTTATACAGTGAAAATACATCCTTAGTTTCAAAAACTATATGTATACCAGATTTTTCAGGCATAGGCTTGCTTTTAGAATACAGTTTACTGTGATTTTTGTAACTCATCTTAATTGATGTTTAATACCAAGAGAGAAGTCATGTTTTCTCCAGTCATTTCATGATATGATGTGCCAGTAAGTCCAAATTTTATGTAATGGTAATCAGGAGGCCGGGCACGGTGGCTCATGCCTGTAATCCCAGCACTTTGGGAGGCCGAGGCGGGCAGATCACCTGAGGTAGGGAGTTCAAGACCAGCTTGACCAACATGGTGAAATCCTGTCTCTACCAAAAATACAAAAATTAACAGGGCGTGGTGGCGGGTGCCTGTAATCCCAGCTGCTTGGGAGGCTGAGGCAGGAGAATCGCTTGAACCCAGGAGGTGGAGATTGCAGCGAGCTGAGACTGTGCCATTGCACTCTGGCCTGGGCAACAAGAGCGAAACTCCATCCTCCCAGCAAAAAAAAAAAAAAAAATAGCAATCAGAAAAACTTGTAGTTGCTACAATATTATTAGATTAATATGAATTTTCAAAAATGGCAGAGCCTTAACCAAACTTAAAGAGTTTTTCTTTCTTAACTGATCTTCTTAGATGTGACTACAGGAAATTTTGATGAAATATGTTCATAAATTATGATGACAAGTTGGTTTTGGGGGATTTTTACATATTATCAGATACCAATGCTAAAGGAAGAGCTATGTTGGGGGCCTTCAGAGCCACCCCAGGTGAGATGATGCCCTCGGAGGACTCACAGGGCTCCTCATGCAGTCCTACTCAGGGCTCTGATTTATTATAGTAAAAGGATGCAAAGCAAACTCAGCACAGGGAAAGGCACACGGGGCAAAGCCCAGGAGAAACCAGGCGCAGGCTTCCAAGGATCCTGTTCCCCTGGAGCCACACAGGACACATGTAATTCTTCCCACAAGCAGCTGGGATGCCATGTGTGAAATACTGTCTACCAGGAAGCTAGTAACAGACCAGCACTAGGGCCTTTGGGGGCTTTTATTAGTCAGACTTCTTCAGAGAAACAGAATTTATTGTATATATATAGGTAGACAGATGAGAGGGGATTTATGCTGGGGATTCACTCCCTCAACTATGGGGGCTGAGGAGTCCCACGTTAGGCCATCTGCAAGCTGCTGAGACAGGGGAGCCAGTAGCATGGCTCAGTCCAAGTCTGAAGGGCTGAGAACTGGGGAAGCTGGTGGAGTAACTCTAAGTCCAAGACCAAAAACATGGGGGGCTACTGGTGCAAGTCCCTGAGTGTGAAGGCCAGAGAACCTGGAGATCTGATGTCCAAGGGGAGGGGAATATAGGACTCCCTACTCCAAAACAGAGAGAGTGAATTCGCCTTTTTTCTCCCTTTTTGTTCCAGCCAGGCCTTCAGCCGATTGAATGGTGCAGTGAGCCGAAATCACGCCACTGCACTCCAGTCTGGGCAACAGAGCGAGACTCTGTCTCGAAAAAAAAAGAAAAGACAAAGAAAGGCATATATTGCTACAGAAGATACTCTTAAATCCTACTTTTCTGGAAATATTGGTTATTATAGAAAATATAGGACTAAATCATTTTAAAATTCTCATTCTGAAATTATTACAAATGTTTTATGAATCATATTAGCATATAGGCAAGTTTTGGAAAGCTAAAATTGCAAACCAGGGATGCAGATGAGTGTTCTGTGAAATTTTTAATTTTTGCAGAACACCATGAGAAATTACACATTTTCTATTCTATATTTCTTGTAGGAAATAGAGGCTGTCCCTCTCTCAGTGCCCCACATGAGAAAGGGAAGTTGTCCTTTTACATATCCACTGTCAAACATCTTGGTAAACAGAGGAAAGCAGGCTGGGCCTGGTGGCTCATGCCTATAACCCCAGCACTTTGGGAGGCCAAGGAGGGCAGATAGCTTGACCAGCATGGGCAACATGGCAAAACCCTGTCTCTACAAAAAAATTTAAAAATAAAAAATAAATGTAGCCCCAGGTACTCAGGAAGCTGAGACAAGAGGATCACTTGAGCCCGGGAGGTAAAGGCTTCAGTGAACCATGATAATGCCACTGCACTCCAGCCTAGGCAACAGAGTGAGACCCTGTCTCAAGAAAAAGAAAAACAAGAAGAAGGCAATCTACTTTGTACCCAAAGAATTTTACATGCAAAGAGTTTGACTATGAATGAGCCTCCATTGCTTAGGAGAGACTTCACTATTTGGGATTTTAAGAAAGAAATACACAAACAAGCAAACCTCATCTGCAGAGGACTGAGAAACCAGTGTTTATAATACCCAGTGTTTAATGTAATATTGTCTTGAATCATAATTAAAAGGCACTTAGTTTAAAAGTCATTTCAATTGATAACTGACTCAGAGTCCTCAACATTTCACCTTTTGCTTTATGAAAACAACGAGTAGATTAATTTAGAGTTTGACAAGGAGAAGGAAGTCTCCCCTGATTTTCTGCTTGGCCAAGAATTTATCCTAACATGGTACCATCAGAGTACAGTCAGAAAGCTGTGAGTCAACTCAGATTTCTCACCATTGTGTCAAGCTGTGAAGCCTGCCGTCTTGGGGGTAAGGATTTCCATACAGAAACACTGTAAGTAAATAATTTAGCACTTGTTTCTTATTCCTTTTTATTGGGTAACTACACAGAATTAAAACTGTTGTTTTGAATTCACAAAAGAAATGTTTTAAAACTTTCGAGGAAAAAGCCAGATTATCCATTGCAAAGCATCGAAATTCAAAAAATCATGTTAAGGCTAGAGAAATAGGATCCTATCCCCACCTAGTGGCCAACACTGAAATCTAGACAGAACAGGAAACAAGGGAATTTGTCAACAATTTGGGAATACTCCAGCATTCTTTACCAAAAAAAGTTAGAGAAAAGGTTAGACACACAAAAAAACACATATCAAAATAAATATGACCAAATACATAGGTTTTGGCAGCACATTGGTTTCTGTGGTTTTGCTATGCTTTTAGCAGCAGCTGTAAAAAGCATTGCACACTAAACATTGGTAGATTGCCAAACAAACCTAATTATATTTTTTTGTTTGTTTTTTTGGTTTTTTCAAAACCTCCTACCTCTGTGACATAATTATGTTTTTAATGAGTTGAATGTAAAAACAAACATCAATGCATAGAAAGTTTCAGTTAGACAGGAGGAATAAATTCAAGATATGTACTGTACAACATGGTGACTCTAGCTAATAACAATGTACTGTGTACTTGAATATTGCTAAGTGAATAATTTTAAGTGTTCTCACCAAACACAAAAAATATGTAAGGTAATGCATATATTAATTAGCTTGATTTAGCCATTAAACAATGTACACATATATATAGAAATCAAAACATCATATTGTATACCATAGATACAATTTTTGTCAATTAAAAAAAGAATTAAATGGATACATATATTTTTGTTGCAGAGATGTATGAGAGATTGATCCATAAAGACTCTAAAATATTTGTTAAAAGATACGAACTGAGGGAAAGCCTTCAACATCATATTTGGAAGAAAGTGTACATAGTTAGACCATCCTAGGATCTGTAAAGTGGGTGTGATCATCAGAGAGCAATACATTGAGCAGTGCTGTCCTATACAATGTTGTGCTGTTAGGGAAATGTTCTATATCCAGCTCTCCAACCGAGCCCCCACTAGCCACAGGTGGCTCTTGAGCACTTAAAATGCTAGCAGCTGGTGAGACCAAGGGGCTGAAGTTTTCATTTAATTTTAAATTAAGGCAGAATCACCTATAAGAGAAAGTGCTACAGAATTGGAAAAATGAAAAAGAATTTGAGAAGCCAGTGGGAATGGAGCTAAAGTGTATGGTCATGGCTCATCAGATTTGGGGATATCAGAATTCCAACAGCACAATGGGCTCACTAGAAAATTAATAAGATTACAAAACAGGTTAAAAGAAACATCAAAAATAGTCCAATTTTAGCAGATACAGAAACTACAAATTTAGCAATAATTTTGGCAAACCCTCAACTCATGCAATGTAACAGTGCTAGGAACCGAGTCAAAGGGGAATGCCAAGACAAAAAGCTTATAAACTTTAAGGGAACATTTCTCTTAGAACATACAGAAACAGGGCAGTTCCACACCTTTGATTCATTCTCCAAGCTTAAAGAGCTTTGCTCTAAAACCAGATCCTCTCATACGACACGACAAACAGCCCCAGTGTTCTTCCCTCCAGATCTGTTCCAACCTGTGTCTGGAGGCACCCTGCACTCAAGTTAAAACAGTTTAGACAAAGGACAATGTTTAGGAATTCCAGAAACTTTGGGATATAACATCAGTGGCAACTTTTAATTAGGAAAACCCAATCTAATAAGAAGGTCTATTTTGAACACCAGGGTATGTGGAGAGGAAAATATCGAGGTAGAAGGTTATGAAACATTAATGGGAGATACAGAGAACCAAAAAAGTTTCTATGGTGATTTCTCCTGCCCCGGGCATGTTATCTGAACTTACAATTGCAACTCTGGGAGCTGGAAAAGCTCTTAAGAACCTCTGGAATGCCACTTCCCCACAAAACAACATAGTATGAAATAGTGACAAATCGCTAGGAGAATATGTAAAATAACAATCATGATAACATTGTTGGAGAAATCTGACATAATCCCACCAGTAGGACTCTTTAACAATTCATTTTGACCAGCCAAAAGGTAGGTGAAGCTTGGAAGCGAATTGTGAATTACACCAATATGAAGAAAAGCAGCTAATTCTGAAGTAGTATTAAGTGGCAGTGACTATTCTAATCACTTTAAATATTTAACTCAATTATGAAAAATAAAATGTGATTAGCACTGTACATATTATTTCCTTAGTAGAAGATCTTGCTAAATCAACCCTTGATTAGCATTCATGCATCAATCTGGCTGATGTATCCTTTTCAACCCCAATAAATTATATTCACCAACAGTCTGCTTTCACTTGGCAGCACCAACCTTTACTAAGTTGCCAGAGTAAATTCTCCCACACCCGAGGTACAATCCATTGAGCAAAATTTAAACAGCCTAAATCCAATTCAAGAATTAACATTGTTTTATTACCCTAATGACACATTAACCAGGAGTGACTTGAAAAAAACTGTGTCCATGAGGAAACTTCTTGGGGTAATAAAAATATTATCTTGATTGTAGTAGTAGTTACACAATGAATATTTTTTTCAAAACTCATAAACAACTGTATAGCTACAGTTTCACCATATTTAAATTATATCTCAGTAAACCTGATTTTATGTTATATTTATTTATTTATTTATTTATTTTTGAGATAGAGTCTCACTCTGTCACCCAGGCTGGAGTGCAGTGGTGCAATCTTAGCTCACCGCAACCTCCACCTCCCAGGTTCAAGCGATTTTCCTGCCTCAGCCCCTAGTAGCTGGGATTACAGGTGTGCACCACCATGCCCGGCTAATTTTTGTATTTTTAGTAGAGACAGGGTTTCACCATGCTGGCCAGGTTGGTCTCGAACTCCTGACCTCAGAAGATCTGCCCACCTCAGTCTCCCAAAGTGCTAGGATTACAAGTGTGAGCCACTGTGCCTGGCCTGAACCTGATTTTTTTTTAAAGCAACTGCATCCAAAAACCTCTGTCTTCCATTATTAATTTTATGAGTTAAAAGGAACAGGCTATAAAAGAGCACAAATTTCAGTAAAATTTTGGGGAGAAAAATTCTGCCCAAGACCAGGCAAAAGCCTTTGTGCTTGAAACCCCCTACTTGAAAAAGAGGAACAGAAATTAATTGGCATGTTTGAATTCTGAAGACTGCATATCCCACATCTGTATTAAACTTGGGTCTCTTCATTGAATTATGTGTGTCCTTAAGAGAACAAGATGCCTCAGAGCTGTGCTGTCTAATATGGTAGCACTAGCTGGCTACCTGTGGCCATTTAAATTAATTAAAATTAAAATTATATTTCTAATTGAGTTCTTTAGTGAACTAGCCATGTTTCAAGTGCTCAGTAGCCACATGTGAATAGTGGCCACCACATTAAATTGCATAAATGTAGAACATTTCCATCATCACAGAAATTTCTATCAGACTTAGAGGCCAAACTGTCTTAGAGGCCAAACAGGTATACAGACCACTGGAGTTTAATGACTTAAGTATTGAATACAAAATTAGGTGGCATGAGTCTCTGAAAATTCAATTGGCTGATATTTCTAACCATTAAAACCATCTTGAGGTGGCTGGGCACAGTGGCTAATGCCTGTAATCCCAGCATTTTGGGAGGCTGAGGTGGGTGGATCACCTGAGGTCAGGAATTCGAGACCAGCCTGGCCAACATGGTGAAACCCTGTGTCTACGAAAAATACAAAAAATTAGCTGGGCATGTATTGGGGGAACCCAACCCCAATATTTGAACATAGGTTCTTTCTATTTTCCCTAAGTGTCAGCCAGTCTGAGAAATAAAGAGAAAGAGTACAAAGAGCAGAATTTTACAACTGTGCTGCTGGGGTGACATCACATATCGGTAGGTCTGTGATGTCCGCCTGAGCTGCAAAACCAGCAGGTTTTTATTAAGGACTTTAAAAGGGAGGGGATGTACAAACGGAGTAGGTCACAAAGATCACATGCTTCAAAGGGCAATAAAGATCACACGGCAAACAGCAAAGCAAAGATCACAAGGCAAAGGGCAAAATTAGAATTACTGATTTGGGTCTGTGTTCAGCTGTGCACGTATTGTCTTGATAAACATCTTAAACAACAGAAAACAGGGTTTGAGAGCAGAGAACCAGTCTGACCTCCAATTCACCAGGGTGAGGTTTTCCCCACCCTAGTGAGCCTGAGGGTACTGCAGGAGACCAGGGCGTATTTTAGTCCTTATCTCAACCGCATGAGACAGACACTTCCAGAGTGGCCATTTATAGACCTCGCCCCAGGAATGCAA